CAGCGCTCCCCTCCCACCCCTCAGCGGTGGCGTAACGCTCGCGTAACAGGCGAGACATCACCCCGCCACGCTCGCCGCGGTGACGTCACGAGCGGAGCCGAAGATAGCCGAGCCCCGTAACCTGGTAACTACGCAATGCTAGTCAACAGCGGTGACGTAACGCGCCACGCTAACGTACCCGTAATCAATTTCCTACTGTGACGTGGTACTCATTACGCAACCGGTAAGCACTGCGGCTATATAAGTGGATTCCACAGCAGCTGACAGGACAGTTGAAACATAGCAGCCTGCGAGTGTGCGATAACGAAGAAGTCAGCGAGCGGAAGACTTATTGTGTGCTTTCCAGACATAGTGATTGCTGTAGTACAGTTATACTCGGAGTGTGTATTTCAGGGAGACTTGTATAGCTCCCGCGTTATTAATACGTGAAGACAAGTGAAGACTGTGTTAAGAGATTGTGTTGTAGGGTTTGTAAAGTGTGGAAACCCGCGATATTGTGATAATTAATTGTAGCCGTTATTTGTAGATTGTTAAATAAACCCAATTAACCATCTCTACGGCGTATTCGGTAACGTAAACACGTTACAATATATTAAAGATTATTGTTCTTTCTTTCTGCTAATCACAGTGGCCACACAGGCTAAGGTATGAACTGTCTTTACCCACTTGAACACTGGGGTCATGGGTTCAGATCACTGAAGGCATGGATGTCCATGTGCATTTACTCTGTGTTTGTGCTGTCATGTGTGTAGGTACAACCCTTGAAACAGGCTGATCCCCTGTCCAAGAAATCCTACCGACTGTGTATAGGATCACAAAACCAATAAAGTGACCAGGGCCCAACAAGGCTGTAGTAGAACCATTGATGAATGAATCAATTATACTTTTTGTGGAAGACCATATCACAGTAAACTTCCCATTATCTGACATGTATGGAGAATGAAGTATGCCAGTTGCATGAATCTGACAGTTGCATAAGGAAAATACAGAACCCAATTTTCATGTAATTTTCACTTCTTTTTTTTTTCGGTCTCTTAATATTTCCATTTTCTGTTTCAAAATCAAAACAACATGTTTTCACTTTAGTTCTTGCATGGAAATCTCTTTACAACATACTGAAAATAAATGGGTGAAAGTTTTAGGATATAATCAACTACAGTGGTACCTGCTTGAGGGGGGACAGTGGGAGGTGGTGCTGCTGCTAGTTAGAGCTGGAAGAATTTCAGTGGGTTGGGTGGACACATGCGCATCACAGCTCTTTTTTTTTTAAGTAAATTTACAAAACGGTAAATTTTGTTTGAAATTTTTGCCAGATAAACAAGTATTTTGAATTCTTAGATAGTGGATAATAGAGGAGTTACAGTAAATAAGTACAAATTATCATTTTATGAGGGTTGGAACTTTAATAGTGGCTACTATTTATTTACAATTGATACAAAATAGATGCATGTTTCAGAGTTTTACTGTCCTTCAGTGTAGTCGCCAGCATTGTGTACAACCTGTTGCCAGCGATGTGGAAGTTGTAGGATACCTTTAGCAGCACCTATTGTGTTGATTGTTCGAATGGAGTGGTCTACTGCCTGAAGAATCTCTTGAACAGTTCTGAAGCAAATGCCACGAAGTGGTTCCTTCATCATAGGAATCAAGTCAAAGTCACAAAGGCTTAAGTCTGGGGAGTATGGTGGATGGTACAGCACTTCCCAGCCCCATCGATCAAACAAATAAACCACAGCTTGTGCTGCATGCGGCCGAGCATTGTCCTGCAAAATGATGGGTGGGTTCTGCAGAAAGTGTCGCCGCTTCTTTCTCAAAGCTCGTCACGGGTTGTGTTCCAAAAATGAACAATAATACTGCGCATTGATGGTCTGCTGTTGGGGAATGGTATGCGTTAGGATAACACCATCACAGTCGCACACGAAGATCACCATAACTTAAACATTGCTGGGGTTCTGACGAACTTTTGATTTTCCTGGTGATGATGCAATTCGTTCGATTGGCATTTTATTTGTGGCTAGTATGATTTGGCCCATGTCTCATCCAGCATAATGATACGGCGTAAAAAAGCCTCTCCTTCGCGCTCAGAGCACTCCAAGGGGGTACAAGCAGTGTCGTATCGTAGCCATTTCTGCAGTTCTGTCAAATCATGCAGAACCCATCGTGATGCAGTTTTTCTCATGCCCACGTATTCCTTCAGAATGTGAAGCACAGTCATATGTGCTAATCCTGTCTCTCGGGCCAGCTCACGAATCATATGGCATCGATTGTTGTGGCCTGAAGGCCGACTCCCGGTAATATGTTAACAGAGTATTAACTTTTTGTATTTTAGGGGAAAATGTTGGTTGGAATAGAAATAGTCTTGGGAAATACTTGTAAGATGTATGAAAGAGGATGTAAGAAGGGTTAAGGAACTTCAAGGAATTTTTGCATATGGAGTTAGACGGCCGTTAGCCTTGGACGCGTCGATGTCCAGTCAGCAGAATGATGTTGAATGTATATCGAACTGCTAACTACAGAATCTACACTTGAGTGAAGGGAGGGACGTTTGCAGGTAAAAGGGTTAGCCAAATGGTCTAGCAGTAAGGGGCGTGTCCATCGCCTTAGGATCCCAGCCAACCATTTGGGACAAGACGTCATTATAGGCGGACTTACACCTCCCGGGAAAGTAATGAGTTAGCATGAATAAAGGTATATAACCCGGAGAACAAATTATTATGGGGATTATTCAAGCAGTAATTTTGGGCAGTTGTCGCCAGAGGCTATGCCAGAAGAAGCACCGACTAAGCGCCGGGCCGCACCACCTGTCTGCCGTCTCAACGCAAAGTAATGGGATACTACTCTTATCACCATGCTTAATGATTGTGATATTATTAAAGTGTAACTCCTCCAATGGGACTTGAGTTAGGAACGTTACAACAAGTGTACAGGGCGTAAGAGTGATCCAACGGAGTGATGTAGAGGTAGACAGGTGTAATGTAGAGACTGCATAGGGTGTGTCTAGATGCAAGGATGTGTAGAGATATCTGTTATACAGTGGTTGAGTAGAACAGGAGAAAGAGGAGGCTAGCGACCCGCAACTGGGTGAAAAGAGAGAAAGATCAGGTCCAAGAATCGTCTAAGAAAGTGTAATGGTAACCCAACACCAGTCGGCTCTTTGTGATATTGCTAAAATGTATATAACACTATATTGCTTGTTTATACTAATATAGGGTAGCATAGGGTGAGGTTGTGGGTTTCTGTTGTGATTTCCTCCCTTACCACATTTCGCACCTGCGCCCTCCTGCCAAGCCCGGCGAACTGTGTGCCCCTAGCCAATGAAGCAAGGATCAAGGAAGTAATTCAGTCATTTCCTTAGCCCTACCCCTGTGACTGCAGTACAGAAGGTGACAGCGTGGATACCTCCATGGCCCCCTGTCACCACGGTATAACCGGTGGCATAACATCGATCACTCTCCAGTAACTCGGAAAGAGCATACACTTCTTTACTGACACTAGGATGACCTGGCCGACGCATGTCTGCCACATTTTGGCGTCCCTCGTTGAGGCTTTTACCCAACTTGCCACCATTTGATGACACTGTCGTGCTGTACGGCCTCTGGTACATTCAATCTTTTTCCAACTCCATTGTTCCTGTTTCGAAAACATCGTGACAACACTACATTAGACCGCCAGCTAACATGAGGCTCCGTTCTTCTCGTCACTGTGCATGCGCGCGATATGGGAAGGGAGAGTCCATTTGCTCTGAAGTAAGGTAGCTATGTAACTAACGTGTGGTATAAGCGACATAATTTGGTTCCGTTGCATGGCGTCTCTACAGCAGTGTTGCCACTCTTAAAGTTCCAACCCTCGTATTAAATTTTAAATTTGCCAGTTATAACCTCAAGGCTTCACTCAGTTTAAGTATGTGTATTGTGGGCTTGTAAACTGTACTTTATATGTAGTTTAGTTTTTATGGGTGCTTATAAGCGATGTTAATGCAAAATAACATATTCCATTAATTACTGGTATGAAACTGAAAGTCATGTGAAATATTTATTCTGGGTGTGATGTTGCTTTTTAAATCCCATAAACGAGTTTGTTGACAATAGTTGAACATCTTTGAAATTTATTACCATATGCTATTTGAGGGCACTGTATTTAATAGTGGATCCCCCCTCAGAAATTTATGCTTCTACTGTCTCATTATTACTGATTGTCAGAAGTTAGATCTGAGATCTGAGGTTGGAATGGTCTCCATTGGCATAACATTCATACCAAATTTCAGGAAGACAGGCTATTGGGCTAAAAACTGAAATGGGCACACAGACAGCATGATCATCTCATAAGGTTACTTTTATCCTGTGCTAAAAGTTAAGAACTCAGCTTTTAACAGTTATGAATCTCAATAAATGATTGCAGAAAATGTCCAACAGCTTCAAAATGATGAGAAAACGAGCATATTACCCAATGGAACTTTGATTGTTAACACAGTAAACCATGATGATGAAGGCTGGTACACTTGCACTGCAACAAACAAGGGTAATTTATTTATCCCTCATGTCTCTTTATGACTCATATAAACTTGAAGTCTATAGTTCAAATATTTGAGGTGAATATAAATTTTTATTGCACTCTGAATTTGAGCTACTCATTCACTTTCTCATAGTACTTCAAGTACCAAGAAGCCCTGCAAATGGTCTGGTTGACAAGTTAGTTCATAAAGGTTCTCACAGCAGTAACTGTCTTCAGGGATGTAGCTCTGTGTAATCCATCAGAGGTCCACAGATGTTTTGGAGTAATGTACCCCAAATGTCTGCTTGCTTGCTTCTTACAAGGCTTACTGTTCAACCCAGAAGATGAGAGCAATACACATCTCCAAAAAATGTCTGTGGACTTCTACTGGACTACACAGCCTTAATTCCAGAAGATAGTACTCTGCCATCAAATATGAAAGAAGATGACTTTTCAATTTGAAACATGCTTAAAATCAGTAAAACTTAACCTATAAGTTTTATTTGTTTCTTCCTGCTTCATCACACTAACTATATTATAAAAGGTTAATTAATTCCATCCAGTGTGACTGTTGAAGTTTGTTCTCGTTTTTAATATTTTATCCTTAACATGTTTCGGTCTTATAGACCATCTTCAGAAGGATATCAAAACAATTATAAACCATTATTAAAATATGTTTTGTGAATGAAACTGCTTATGGAATATGACAGTGTAACTCAGAAAGTTTTATTATCTCTAGAATCACTACTGCAGAATGTGAAACAACTTCAACATGCACGCCATTCGTGGCATGTAAGATGTCCAGTCGGTACTGAAGAGTCAAGTGTTCTCCAGCATTTGTGGGGTAACTTTTTCAATTGCAGCAAATTACTGTAACCAGCATTGGATAGCATTATCTGAAGGTGCATTTTTTCCATATTGAGTTCTATAATTAGGTTGCATTTTGATAATGGACTTTGTTTTGAACAACCAAAGTACACACATTGCTTTCTCTTGAACAGTCGCCATTTTCAGGTATGACATATTTTTTCCCATACATCAATGTGACAAGTATATAGCATTGCGAAATAAAACTTTTTGAATTACATTTTCCTATTCCATAAGCAGTTCTATTTTGTTTTTTTCTAGTTTGAAAATTATAGGCCACAGAAACCCTAACAATAATTTAGAATTATTGTGTATAATTTCTAATGTGTTTGTTCAACGAGAAAAATATATCTTGTTTATTCAGTAAGAAAAATATAACACTCATATATCAGATTAATATTATAGTAACTCAGAAGTCTGCTTGCCCCTCACAGTATTATCCGTTGTATTCTACATAGGTGGAACGAGTGAGGGGCAGGTGTACCTTGCACTGAAGGAGCCAGTGCATGTGGAGGTTGTACCAGAGCGATTTCACTTCCAGCAAGGAGACTCAGTCAGCCTGTCCTGCCATTCCACCAGTATACCCAAGCCATCATTTGTGTGGAAGAAGGATGGGCATGTCTTGAAGGAGGTATATGTAATTGCAGAGCAGCCCTGTTAATGCTTTCCTGATCAAACTGTAGATTCCTGCGTGAACATCAAAGACCAGTGGATAGGAATACTGCTTCATATTTTGGTGATCCCAGGTTCAAAAATTGGCCCAGGGACCGGCTACCTGACTGAGGCTTTTCATAGTTCTTCATAGTCCATCTTGGAAAATACCATGGTAGCATAGGGCTTGTAGCACTATGCTACAAGCCCAGTAGTTCATGAGTTTGATTCCCCATGAGGTTATTGGCTTTTTCACTTTACCTAATCATTCCAGCCACACTATGGCCCTGGGGTCAACTCAGCCTCTAACAGAAATGAGTACCAGCAATCTTCCTGGAGGTAAAGGGCAGCCATCTGGATCATGAGGCTGACAACCTTACCACCATCTATGAGCCAATTGTCTATAAAATGTAGGAGCCTCAACTTCTCCCAACCCTATTAACCTTCACGTCCTGTTACAGGGACAGCTTTACCTTTTTCACCCTCTTGGAAAATGCCAGGTAGTGTCCCAATTTAGGTCATGATCACTTCATTCCACATCCTTTCCAGTTGACCCATTTTTCTTCTTCACCAGAGCTACAACCCTGTGTGGGTCTTGTCCCCCTCCATGGTTTTGTGAGAGTAATTTTTTCCAGGGTGGGGTCATTAGCCCCATGTCCAAACCTCTGCCTGGAGGAACATGGACTACACTTCAACTGGTCCCTGCCCTTTGAACTGTCTTGCATAGGAGGCTCTACCAAAAGCTTATACTCCTGTCAGCATAGCTCTCTAGGACACTGGGGCTTGCCAGTCTCCTCTCTATGATAAGGCAGTAGTCCATGAGGAGGAATTCGTTGATCAACATTGTTCATTGTTATACACCAGTCATTTCCATGGGAACATGTTTCTTTGCAAAGACGTTGCTCAGTGCATCTGCATATACATGCCTATTAAGAATCCATTGTCCATTAGTGGATGTTGTTTCGTCGTTTGTTCAAGGTCGTTACCCAGTAATGGGTCTACATGCTACAATATTTTGTTGACATTTGTTGGAAGCAGTTATATGTAAGTCATGAAAAGAAAACTAATTCAAACACCCATACCCAAAAGAAGATAGGGAAGAGTGGAGAGCTCTTGGGAACATAATAATGGATCTTTGGGTTCCATAAAATATTTGGAAGTTCTTAAGTAGCAGAGTAACTGATGGCTTCTCAAGAAGGGCTCAGCTCCATGCAGTTGGTCAGTTGGTAGGTTGGTTAGTTAACCTTTAGTGTACAAATGTTAGATATATGTAACAGCAGGTAACGCTCCGCTGTAGCCGAATGTTAGATTTATATAATGCAGTACACGTGCACCCTTTGTGAGTGCTGACAGTTTGATCTTTGGGTTGAATCCAAAACAGACCCACGCAAGGTCAAGTCAGTGGTTCATTCATTAGCTCTGAACAAAGAAATTATTTATCTTGGTCATGTGTTTCAGTATTATTTTTGTTTACATATGACTGTTTATGACTGGGGTCAGCCAAATAGAGCACAGCTTTGTTTTGAGAACTGAGAAGTAAATATTCATCTGAGCATGCAGATTAGTGCTACTTGAACTTGCAAGGAAGTGAGTCATTTTCAAGGATTTGTTTTCAGTGGCAAATTATCAGTCAGAAAGTCAGTGTCAGATTGTCAATTATTTATTTATGAAACATTTTTATTTTGTGTCTTGGTAGAGTTATAAAGCCACTGAAGACAACAGTGCTTTGTGGATAAATGTGACAGGATGGTAAATAGTTATGGAATTATGTAAGATTTGAGGCTTTCATGGCGGTGACTATGAAGAAAGCAGTCTTCTGGGATTTGGCACCGTGTATATGTGGTGTTAACCGACGTTTCAGAGGAATGTATCGCCTCCATCTTCAGGGTAGAAGAAAAAATATATATATAAGAATCTGCAAGCAAAGAGACCGTGAGAACCGGTAAAAGCAGACTGTGGAAAAACACACAGCTATGTGAGAGCAGTGAGGGAGAAGGGGGAAGGGCAAGTATACAATTGAAAGCAGTAGTGTGGGAGGGGTTGGGGAAGGGAGCTAGGACAAGCGTGGTTTTTGTGTAGGGGAGAGAAAAGGCGAGGTTGAAGGCTGGGCACCACCCATGAGCTGAGGGGTGGGGGTTGTTATGTTGGTTGGTCATGGCCTGTGTGGCCTTCTGGATCTGGCGTCATATCCTGGTGGGGGTTTTTTAAGGGAACAGATGAGAGGTTTCCAAGACTTGCTCAGATAAAACCCCCCCTCTCTGTTCATATTTCCTGGATGCAGTTCAATCTCAATTGCCTCCCTAATAATGCGATCCATATAGCGGGTCTTGGTGGCGAGGATGGAGGTATTCTGAAGATGAATTCGGTGTCCCAGATCGATGCTGTGTTCAGCTACGGCCGACTTGTCCGGTTGTTCGAGACAGATGTGCCGC